TATTTGAAATGCCTCAAGATTTTTTTTTTTTTTTGCTGGCTGCAGCTAGACATTTTCCATCTTGTAGGAGCCCCGCTTGTTGAAAATTGCCTGGCAGGTTTTAACAGTTCCGTATTTGCCTATGGGCAGGTACTTGCTTCTTCAACACTTCTTTTTTTCTTTTTCAATTTCGTTTCAATTATTGTAAATTAACTTTCAAAAAAAAATTGTAAATTATCCAGCAAATTGTAACAATGCTAATAATTTTTCAATTTGTTTGTCCCAAAAATTGATTTCACTAGACTGGAAGTGGAAAGACTTATACGATTTGGGGTCCAGCGAATGCCTTGTTGGAAGAGAACTTATCAAGTGATCAACAAGGCTTAACTCCCCGTGTCTTTGAGCGACTCTTTGCTCGTATAAATGAGGTAAAATTTCAATCCTGGATGAATTCGCTCAAAGTTAATATGACGGATGGACCAATTTTATTAGTTTGCGCTTTGACCTTTTATAATTGTAGGAGCAAATTAAGCATGCTGATAAACAACTCAAGTATCAATGTCGTTGTTCCTTTCTCGAGGTAGAGTTACTGGCTTATTGTGATTCTAAATTTTGATATAATTTGACTGTTGAGCTTTGTAATATTGTTATTTCTTACCACTTGCTTTTCAATTTCCCTTTGCAGATCTATAATGAGCAAATCACAGATTTGTTGGATCCAAATCAAAGAAATCTGCAGGTAGAAGGGATAATAATATTTCACATTTCAATTCATCTTTTGGGATGAAAATTTCTGGTTTTCTTAAATTGTTTTATGATTTTCATCCAGATAAGAGAAGATGTAAAATCTGGCGTTTATGTCGAGAATTTGACAGAGGAGTATGTAAGTTCAATGAAGGATGTGACTCAGCTGTTAATGAAGGTTTGTTCTTTACTTTGCCAATGCTTTGACTGCTCGTTGTTTCCTCGCTGTAGAGTGTGAAGAAAAATCTTCAAACTTTATGCTTACAATGCTGACATTCAACTTTTCTTGATAGAAATGGAACACTTGTATGCATAATTCTTTTCCTTTTTTTTTAGTTTGATTTAAATGGATTTTGAAACTTGACTGTTAACTAATTTTTAAGGTTTATCTTTACAAGCTGCTCTATATATGATGCAGGGATTATCAAATAGAAGGACAGGTGCGACTAGTATCAATGCTGAAAGTTCCCGCTCACATAGTGTTTTTACCTGTGTTGTTGAATCTCGATGTAAGGTAATAATGCTTTGAATTTCATATGGTTTACTTGTTTCTAACATTTAGATTTTAGCAAATATTTCTTCTCCTATTTCAACTTTGTCAAAACTAACTCATGGCATCAAATCACAAGCTGAAATTTTCTTAAATTACATTTCATGGCTTATATGTTAATTTTTGCAAATAATAAAATTACAAATGGCCTAATGATCTGCACAACAATTGGAAAAAGGACTTCCATTTTCCTGGGTTTTTCTTTCTCAGTTATACTTAAGGGATTCTGAAGTACTCTATATTCTTACAGAGTGTGGCAGATGGTATAAGTAGCTTTAAAACAAGTCGAATAAATCTTGTCGATCTTGCCGGCTCAGAACGACAGAAATTAACTGGTGCTGCAGGGGAGCGCTTAAAGGAGGCAGGGAATATTAATCGTTCACTTTCACAGCTTGGGTATGCTATTTGTATCTTTTCTTTCATATGCACGCCTTATTTCAGGTGCATCTTTTATTGAATCTCCATATTCAACTTTTAGTTATGTTTTTTGTACAAAAAGGATAGATTTTCCAACTTTGGCTTCTGTATGATACATCAGCAATTCTTAATCTTTTAGATTTAAAATCATTGGAAAAATATAGTACAGAACATTGTTGAGCTGCAAATGGCTTGCCAACTCGACAGATGCAGCTTAACAATTACACATTTCACAAAGACTGCCCTAGAACAGTACAGTGAATTGTCTTATACACTATTTCCTTTATTTTTTTGGTAAGATTGTGTTGAATATCACAATTTAGAATTCCTCTTTAGAATTCAGGTCAGCATATAGGGAACTCTATGTTACAGCATTGACACAATAATCAGATATTGCATGGAAAGAAAAAGGGATGCTAGATGGAGTTTTGAAATACAAAAATGTAAATCAGCTTAATGTGGTAGAGTAAATGCACATGAAAACTTTTAAAGAAAGCTTAACTTTTAGCACATTTGTCTAAAGGGGTGATTGTGTACCTAGATGAGAAAGAAAAAGAAATTTATTAGCAAATTACATTTTCAGAAAAAGGTGATAAAGAAAAGAAGATACAGAAGATAAAAAGGATATGTGATATGCAAAATGTATTGAGACAATCGTTCAATTCAGATTCTATTTGACCATGTTTTCTTGCTTCTTTGCTGCATTGACATGTTTTCGTGGGTGTATGAAAAGGCTTACACTGCTAGCCTTTTGCTAATTTCAATTAATATTTGGAGTTCAGGAACTTGATAAACATTCTAGCTGAAGTTTCCCAAAATGGAAAGCAAAGGCATATCCCCTACAGAGACTCCAAGTTGACATTTTTATTGCAGGAATCTCTTGGTGGCAATGCAAAATTAGCAATGGTCTGTGCCATTTCTCCAGCACAAAGGTAATAAAACAAGTGCCTCTATTTTGTTTAAGATATTGTTCCCCCACTTTTGTGAGAGAAGTTTAAATGAGTTAATAATGCAGCTGTAAGAGTGAAACATTCAGCACGTTACGATTTGCTCAGCGTGCAAAGGCAATCAAGAACAAGGCAGTTGTTAATGAAGTAATGCAGGATGATGTAAATTTTCTGCGTGAAGTGATTCGACAGCTGAAGGTATATTCTCAGAATCAATTTTTTTTTGACCCATTAGTTATGTAATCAAATGCGTGAATATGACAAATGTGGACGAACTATGCAGGATGAACTCCATCGAATGAAAGCTAATGGCAACAACCAAACTGATCCAAATGGAAGTTACTCAACTGGATGGAATGCCCGTCGGAGCTTGAATTTGTTAAAATTTAGCCTCCATCATCCAAGGACGTTACCTCATGTTGATGAAGATGGTGATGAGGAGATGGAAATTGATGAGGAAGCTGTTGAGAATCTTTGTGCTCAAGTAGGTCTGCAATCAGCAGATGAATATCATCGTTCAAATGAACTGACCAAACTAGAGCTAATTGAGTCAGATATGGTAAATACCCCCTCTGAAAATGGATGTGCTGGTGAGCCAGGGCCTAACACATCTGAATGTGTCAAAGCACAGGATGCTGAGGATTCTGATGTGAACATGGAGGAAGAAATATCTGAACAGCCTAAAACCTCTGAAATTATGATTGTTGATTGTGTTCAACCTTTTACGAACACCCCAAATGTTTTTAGTGGTCATGATAGTATCAAAGAAGATCCAGGCCATCTAATTGTTGAAACAACTGATGGGGATTCCTCTGCGATTCTTAAATCCCCAACACCAAGTGTCTCACCTAAAGTCAATCAGAGTAGGAAGAGTCTGAGGACATCATCAATGTTCACTGCTTCGCAAAAAGATATTAAGGATGATGGCAAGTTAGGCTCAGAGGCTATGCATGTATCTTTCACACCAACAGAACATTTGGCAGCTAGCCTCCATCGCGGTCTTGAGATTATTGATTGTCACCGTCGGAGTTTAGCATTGAGGAGGTCATCATTCCGTTATTCATTAAAACCTGCTGATCCTAAGCCAATCCTTGCAGCTCATAAAGTTGATGTTGGAGTCCAAACTTTTCCTCCAGATTATGAGATTCAAGAAGAAGAGCCAGTAGTATTTCTATGTAGTAATTGTAAACAGAGAACAAACCTGGAGGGCAAAGAGGACAGTGAAAGCTCAAACCTGCAGTTAGTTCCTGTTGATGAGTCAGAGTATAGTGAGAAAACCTTAGTTCCTGCTGATGAGGCAGAGTCTGCTGAGAAAACCAAGAAGCAAGTCCCAAAGGTAAGAAGTCTCAAATCCTGGCTTTCAGATTTATATTTTCCAATAATAGACACTTTTTTTAACACTTGTATTGCACAGGCTGTGAAGAAAGTTTTGGCTGGATCTATCAGGAGAGAAATGGCACTTGAAGAGTTCTGTGCCAAGCAAGCTTCTGAGATAATGCAGTTAAACCGTCTGGTAGGTTTCTTAGTAATTTTTCCAGCACAAGCTACGGCCATCATCATTGTGAATTGTTGATGTTATACTTATTGGCTATTTTTTACAGGTGCAACAGTACAAACATGAGCGAGAGTGCAATGCCATTATAGGGCAGACAAGGGAGGATAAAATTCTTCGCCTTGAGAGCCTTATGGATGGTGTTCTACCTACTCAGGAATTCATGGAAGAAGAGCTAGCGTCCCTCACACATGAGCACAAGGTATACTTTTGTTCTTTTAGTCTTTTTACACATCTATATCTTCTTCTCTTTTTTTTTTGAAAAGCTATGCATATATATCTTACCTATTGCCTACAGCTTCTGAAGGAGAAATATGAGAACCATCCTGAGGTTTTAAGAACAAAGATTGAGTTGAAAAGAGTTCAAGATGAGCTGGAGCGCTTTAGAAATTTTCATGATTTGGGTGAGAGGGAAGTGTTGTTAGAAGAAATTCAGGATTTAAGAAACCAGTTACAGTATTATATAGATTCTTCTTCCTCATCAGCTCGAAGACGAAATTCTCTACTGCAGTTGACATATTCATGTGAACCCAATGTGCCTCCACCTCTTAGTGCAATACCAGAGACAAGTGAGGACAGTGCTGAAGAGAAATTTGAACAAGAGAGAATTCAGTGGACCGAGGCAGAAAGCAAATGGATTTCTCTTGCAGAGGAATTAAGGACTGAACTTGATGCTAGTAGGTCATTGGCCGAAAAAAGGAAGCAGGAACTAGATATGGAGAAGAAATGTGCAGAAGAATTGAAGGAAGCAATGCAGATGGCTATGGAGGGACATGCAAGAATGCTTGAACAGTATGCAGATCTTGAGGAAAAACATATTCAATTGCTTGCAAGGCATAGGAAGATTCAAGAGGGCATAGAAGATGTTAAAAAGGCAGCTGCTAGGGCAGGGGTCAGGGGTGCTGAATCTAAGTTCATAAATGCCCTTGCTGCTGAAATTTCTACATTGAAAGCGGAAAGGGAAAAGGAGAGGCGATATCTTAGGGATGAGAATAAAGGACTCCAGGCTCAATTGAGGGATACTGCTGAAGCAGTCCAGGCAGCTGGTGAATTGCTTGTACGGCTAAAAGAAGCAGAAGAAGCTGTGGCTGATGCCCAAGTAAGTGAGGTTATTGATATGTTTTCATGCACTTTGACTTCACTGGTTGATATTAAGATTCTTGTTATACATTAAGTTTAGATGTATGAGTGTCTATGCAGTTTGTTGTATTACTTTTAAATGGTTATGATGGTAGAGTAAAGTAGGAAACATTTTGTTCAATTTATTGACTTCAAAGTAAAATTTTGAATGGGACAATATTAGAACGCAAAAGTGACAAGAGGAATGCATAGAAAGAGAGTGTATACATTAATTTCTATGTGAAAATTATCCGTTTTCCTTCATTCTACAAATAAGCACTCTTAATGTGGTCTCTCACACACACACTCATATATATGTATGTCTCTTAGTGTGGTCTCACACACACACACTCATATGTAAGTATGGACTTACAGATGTTCCCTATACATTGCCTTGTGATAAATAAAATTTTGTTGTAAACCCTGCTAATCAACTATAATAAACAGGTATTACTGACAAATGCTGTTTGTGACAAAACAACCTGTCATGACGTCTCAATTAACTTTTTGATGTTAAGTCTGAATCAGGTCTTTAACCTCAAGTTTAGAATGTACATAAAGATGTTTAGAAGTTTGCTTTTTGAAATTGAGATGGATTTGCATCTTACATTCATACTACAGATAACAATGCTCAGAGAACTTATTGGTGAAGCTTGAGTCATCATCTGGTTACTGGTTGGTACTCTTTGAAAGTGTCACAATGAAAATGAAACTGGAAGTTTTATGTACAAATATTTCACAGTAAATGTTCCAATGAGTCATTTACATTTGTAGGTAATGCATGTAAATCTTATTTTTGAGTGTGGTATGAACTTACACCTTAATAACACATCTCTTGCTGAATCATAAATTTTTTTTTTGTTCTCTTTGGTGAAGGCTGGGTGGTAGACTTTAAATCAAAGAATTTCCAGATGAATGCTCACACTTTAAATCAAAGAATGCATAAAATAAACAACATCATACTGTTGGACTGTTGGTCTTCCTCAACATCTTGTAGTTTTCCATTCTCACTCAAAAATCTTATCTTCATTTACAATTGTAGGTAATACATGGAAATCTAATTTTTCAGCATGCCAATGAACTTACATGTCAATAGAACATCTCTTGCTGACTCATAAATTCTTTATTTTTTTTTTTATGTGGTGAAAGCTGGGTGCTAGACTTAGACCTAGAATTTCCAGATGAAATGCTCGCACTTTAAATCAAAGAAAGCATAAACAACATAATGCAGTTAGACTATAGTCTTCCTCAATATCTCGTAGTTTTCTATTCTCACTCAAAAATCCTTTCTAGCATGCTTTGCAAGAGTGTACTTTGAGATGGCCAAAAGTTTTACAATATAATGCTTCCTTTGACAGTAAATTATCCCACGTATTAGATCGACATGGTTTTGCATGTGGTAGGGAATGGTCACACCTTCTGGTCTTACTAGCAGAGCTCAATTATAATTTTATGCTTTTTTGAACTTGGAATCTGTAGATAGCTCTTTGACAGTGAATGTGACCTTCAAAAGTAGATGGAGCTTTTAGCACTGTTCTCATTGGCTTATGTTTTACATTATCGCAGAAGCGAGCATTGGAAGCAGAACTAGAAGCTGAGAAGGCTCACAAACAGATTGACAAATTAAAGCGAAAACACGAACATGAGATTAGCACTCTTAATGAGCTAGTTGCAGAATCACGTCTACCTAAAGAAGCAATACCACCTGCTTATGATAATTTTGACATTGCCAAGTATGATGCAGGTGAGACACACGATGCCAGCGATCAGCGATGGCGAGAAGAATTTGAACCATTCTATAACGGTGAAGATGTTGAGTTATCAAAGCTTGCAGAAAACTCGTCATGGTTCTCTGGATATGATCGTTGCAATATATAGTTCAAGTCCTAACTGCAAAATAGTGTATGTATAACTAATAGTTTCTGTCATATACCTCCAAAGTCGTGGCTGTTTTTTGTTGTTCATCTGGGTATACCAGTTCTTGCCAATCTGGGGGGACCAGTATCTTGGTTCCCTTGTTGTTCTTTGTAATCAAATTCAGATTCTTTCATTTCATAAGAGTTAAATGAATGATTTATATTCTTTCTTGTTTCTATTCTTCCCACATAGATTTCTCATTCTTCCACTTTGATTCTATATTTATTTCCAAATCTCTTCATCCTTTGACCATCTCTGGCCAACAAAATGGAACACGAATGCGACCAAGTTGCACACATTCAGGCACATGAACTCAGCATGGCACATTCCAAAATATGGCATTGGAGAGACACAGAAAGAAGATTTGTTAAACTTGCATTTGAATTTGTATTTCCTTTTTGGGTGTTCTGGTGATAATGGATATGGTGGACCCCTAAAGTTTGTACAGACAACAGATCTGAAAAGCTAAACAAACATGCTATTTTGATGCCTTGGATCATTTATTTCTTTGGTTTTGGTGTCAATAACGTAGGGGGCAATCCCTCCAGTGGATCAGAGAGGTATGTCTATGGTCCCTCCCCTCCCTTCTGTTTTTATTATTATTATTTATTTTTAGGGGAAGGCAAAAAACAAGACAGTCCACAAGCACTTGCGTTGGGAGGCTCCTGATTTAGGAGTCTATCATTTCATGGAGACCATAATACAAGGAGCTTGTGGCCTTGTCTTCTCCCTGACATGAGCCTATCCCTACCTGTGGACCATTTTCCCACACTTGAGACCCAATTTACAAAGCCTGGAGGCTGGATAGGCTGATGATAAAACAGGACGTGCAAGCTTCTAAACCCTGGCCGCACATCACTGGTTTTCTCTTGCAGGGTTAGAAAGGACTAAGCCATCAGATTTAGAAGAAACAAATGAGGAATGAAAATGACATCTAGATAATTTCTACCAATTCTCATAGAAGAGGAAACCAAACTAACAGATATTAATAGAAACTTTCTCAATTTAATTTGGAGCTCGAAATTACATAATTTGTGAATCTTTTTATATAAATAATAAATTTAAATTTCCGTTGTGATTTACAAAGAAGGATAAAATAATGAGAATAAAATGTAAAATTGTATAAATGATTATTGTTAGAGAAAATCGAAATAATGTCTATAAACGAATATCTTCTCGGTTAAAAATTTAAATTTCATTAAGTGTAGAATTTGAATTTTGAAATACACATGTAACATTTACAAAAGGAAAATGGGGTAGAAAATTAAACATAAAAAATGATTTAGCATTCTTGTTTGTAATTGTACCAATGTGTATCACATGAGTTTGAAGATTTTATTTTAACTCTGTGCTTGTTTTGCGGTTTACAATGAAGGATGAAGTGATGGGATTAAGGTCAAAAAATTGTACAAATGATTATTATTAGACAAAATCGAAATAATGTCTATGAAAAATATCTTATCATTGGAAAATTGAGATTTCAGTAATTACTGAGTTTGAATTTTGAAATACATGTGTAATATTTATAAAACAAAAATCCAAAAAATATTTCTAATAGAATATCTTTGACCATTGAAAATTGAAATTTTCATTAAAAAAAAAATGTGTTTTGAGTTTGAATCTAGAAATACATGTGAAGTATTCATAAAATGGGAATCGAAGCATTAAATTGTCGGGAAAGAAAAATAAACCAAATATGAGGTGAAAAACCATGAAAAATGATTTAGCATTCTCGTTAATTAGTACCTATGTGTATCAGATGAGTTTGGAGTTCTGATTTTAACTCGTGCTTGCTTGCTTCAACACTATTCAGATGGTTGAGTACTGCATGGACCGATGGTTTGGGGTCTATGGTTTATGTTCGGTGAAGCAAAATGATAGGTTTTGATATATAAATATTAGTGGTTTGATATATTTTATCCCCAACATACAATCAAAGTTGATACCCACCCAAGTTAAAGGCAGCAAAGGTGAAAGAAAGAGACATAAAGAGAGAGAGACAGCCTGGTAAATGGACCCTCTCTAACTCTAATCATCATTAATTCTTGTAAACCCCACAATAACATATTCCATCAATCTCTCTTCATCATTCATCCTTCTTTGGACCCCTCATTACTGGAGTTCCTTGTGGGGAACCTTCTAGATCGATATATATATATATATATATATATATATATATATATATATATATATATACATATGTGTATATGCTGTTACAAAACCTTTTCTTTGTAATTAAACGTTCTGGTAAATCTTTTTGTTCCTCATCATCATGCTCCATGGATGATGTTTGTGGATAACTACCGAAAGCATTAAGGTCAACTTCTAAGATTGTTTGAATGCCAAAGCACGTCCCTAAAAGGATCAGTCTGGGTCTCTAAAGGGTGTTTATTTTATGTGACTCCACCCCCAAAAGTTCATCCTTTTGTCAGCCTCCACCTTTCTCGAGAAGATCAAAGCTTAGTCATGTTGATATTTTAATTGGGATGAGGAGGTTGATGTTTTGAGATGTTATTCATTGCTTTGTACCGTGTGATGGGTATGTGCCAAATTCAGTTGCTTTTTTAAGTGAAGTGGATGACATTAACAGAAACCAAACTCAAAAGCGTGCATCAATCTGCTTCTGCCACTTAATGCAGATGCAGTTGTAATAGTGGGACACTAAGCTTAAAGCACAGACACAGAAAGAATTCAACATTGCAACTAATTTTACCTAACTACAGTTTTGTGAAAGTTGTCACAGACTTTCTTACTTTCAAATATAAGTTGGAATTAATAATTTTGCATAAAAAAAAACTTTGGTTAATGACGGATTATTTTCTAATTTCACCGTAATTTGAAAGTTTATTATATTATTATGCCTTCCTTCCAATTACTGCAATAATCCTTTGGTAATGTTAGAATCTTTACCTTTAGTAAAAAGCATGGATAAAATTATTAGGGTTATTTGGATTAAAGGAATCGCTTTCCATTGATGGACTCAATTGGTTGATTTGCTGATATCCTGCTAGATTTAGTCACATAATAATTTTGGTTTGGCACCATTGTCAATGTGACATTGATGATGAAGGCAGGTAGCAACTACTTTTTTGATGCAACTTATATGCAAGGCCCCCATCTCATTGGTTGCTGCATAACAATATCTAATAATTAACATTCCCAAATCTCAGGTGCTAAATCTTTTTTTGTTGACTAATTATCCAAGCAATGTTCCTTTGACGCAGGGCAAATTATCCAACTAAGTTGTCCTTAATTCACCATAACTATCAACCACATCCATTAACACCTAAAAATATACGGATGCATTAAATTTGGATTAGAAATTGAGATATATCTTATCGTTAAATCTCATAATAGATTTACAGTTGTTTTTAATAAAACAATTAACGGTGTATGTTAAAGTCATTTAATTAAATCAAATATGATTTTTTGAATCAAAAATTAAGTCGAATGCTTAAGTGCAATGTACCGCATGACATGGTGGAAAAGTTTTTTTGGTGACATTGGATATTCTCATCCTGTTTTGATAAGGAAGTGTACATGAAGAAATCCATGTAAAACATGTAGCAATAAGGCTTTCCTAGCCAAAAGCCATGTGTGCCTTGAAGTAATTTGAGCCGTCTACATCCACAATCCCTGATTTATTATCATGACACGAGAGGCTAACAAGGATGCTTGCCACGTTTCAAATAACCTCTAAATTTGTTGTATTGTCAAAAACAATTGAATGCAGCAGCCCATCTGAACAGTACATTTAAGACTGCATTTCCACAGTTTTCTAGTTGAAATCAGAAATGCAAGGGAAAACGTCACTTTGGTGTCACTCTGGCGGTAAGTAGGTAGAGAATGGAAATCCCAAATATTAGCCAAAGAATTCTCCATTTTCCCTTTTACAACACCCCCCACCAAAAAAAAAAAAGGCGCAGCTATGGAGTTGAGCTATGTACGATTGTCTGAATACCCAAAAATGTTATGCACTGGAATGGTCTGCTTCTAATTCTCCAGCCCATTTTTGCATTAAAAGAGTTATAAAAGACAGCAAGTGCGATTTCAGACCAGATTAATAAATACACATCATTGTATGTTGTACTTGGTTGCCTTCTTTGTAGTATCCATAACTCGCATTCAATATTATCCAATACATGTACATAAATGCATTGATCAATTACAGTTAGATTAATCAAGCAGAGGAGATCACTTTTTCTGGGTGTTTGTTCGTAGACTTTGGAATTTTTGAGGTCAGCCTTTGATGGAAAAGCTTCGTGTCTTCAGAAGGTATCTATCTACATCTGAACTCCACTACTTTATAGTCTTTATTCTTCCACACATCCCCCTAACAGAATTTTCTAAAGCAGAAGGGATCGTAAAGACCCTTTGATTCCTCAGCCAAGTCAGAAGTTCACTAGTGCCAACCTGGGCTTTTGGTGCTCTTCTGAATTCCCCACTTTAGAAAAAAAAAATGCCAAAAGGCGATGACAAAAGGAGGAAAAGGGAAAAAAGAAAAGCAAAGTACTAGTATAGCAGTTGTTTGCTGTCAATTGTTGCATATGGTAAACGGCAAAGTGCTGTAAAGAAATGAGTTTGGATTCCAGCTCAAAGCACAAAATCATTCTTAATCATCAGTTGGACTTAAGAGACCATTTGTCCCCACTTTAACAGCTGTTTACAAGCTAGAATCTATTTTCCCACTAGTTACGCGATTTAACGTGACATAATTGTCATTCTAACACCGGGGCCACTCCCAACATCAAATTTTCCAGCTAAATATGAAAGCAATAGAGGGAGGGGGCTATCATTTTCATTACACTGTACTGTAGTATTTGTTTGGTTGCCAAGAAGTAAAGAGGAAAATGGATAAATTCATGGGATCTCACAACTGCTTTTTGCAGTTGATACCATCTGCACTTTTCCATCAATCTTCGAACCAACCAAAATCAGCGGAAGGATCTTAGCCAGAGTTATAGGCAGTAATCAAAAGAAGAAAAAGAAAGAGAAGACACATATATATGTATCCAAAAGTCTCTCAATGAATTGATAGATCAATTTCTTTTCTTGGTTTGTAAGGCCAATACACACGGTTGAAACAGAAGTTTACATAAAAATTCCTCTCTTCTTTCAACCCCATCAAGACTCCTCTCACCAAAGCTAAATCTTAAATGTGGTTTATGCACCACTTGA